TATCGTTCGAATCCCTCTTATCTAAGTCGATCTAGGGCTCAAGGTTAGAGTTTTCTGATATGGATTTGCTACATTCACATAAGATCTGTAAACTTTCATGGCTGAAACTAACGATTTATAGTTGATTTCTAGTTTCTTTTCTTATGTTTTGTATTTTCTCTTTCCAAATCGATTTATCTAGGGTTATGAGTGTCGTATTAATGTCTCTGATCACATACAGGATAAACGAGCAGCGTTGGATCTGGATCGTTAGCAACAATGAGTAGAAGCAAGCTCAACGATGTAAAGATGTAGATCTTATTCTCAAATATGTTCTCTATCCGATCAGATCTGCTCTCTCTATCTCTCTGATCTGCTAGTATGGTAATATCAAATATACTCTCTCAATCTCTCCGATCGAATTTCATGTATTCTCTAAATTGCTCTATGAGATTTGGACCTTTCTCTCTAGTTTTTGATTGAATCTCATTATCTTTGTCACTCTATCACATTTTCCTTATAGAAAATGTCAAAACAGTTTCTAAAATTGGTGCTGGTGACTAGTTTATTGATGATGACCGATTTGTAGTTGAGGGTAGTATTTCCTGATGAGTAGTTCGTTGATTGATTCTTATCCTACTGACATAAATTTTTTTATGGATTTTTTTTGTTGGAATAACTTGTTGATATTGCGATTCTTATTGTACCATTTTCCTTGCATGTTAAATGTTTGATAACATGTGTCAATGAAAAACTTTTGTTATTTTTATTTTACCTTTTAATTTTTAGCCAAACACCAAAAAAATAAAAATGATGATGGAACTCTTACTGTAAAATAAACTTTTATCATGTTTGTATTTGTTGGATTGTGTCATGTTACATAGTCGTCACTATAAAAACCAACTTCCTTAGACTGCACTTACCATACTGAAAATCTGAAGAATTCCTCTGAAGAGCTCTCTCCATCTCCAGACAAACACTTGAGGAATTCGAATCATTGAAACAAAGCTCTCACCTTTAAGGTATTTGAATCTCACTGATTTGATTTCATTTTGATTGATTCTTGTTTTAGTTTTTGTTTTTGGTGAAATGGGTTGTTCTTGCTTCTGGGTCTTCAATCTGTTTTCTTTAGCTCTTAATTCAGCTGATAGTTGTTTTTGTTTTTTTTTCTATTTATTTTTATTTTAATTAAGTTCAGGTTTGATTTCATGGTATTTTAGATAAGTTTATGATCTGGGAAGATGCGTTGAATTTAGGTTTTTGGAAGGTTGGGATTTTTTTGTAAATTTGATTTTTTATTTTTTGGAAATTTGGTATTTGTAAGAGAAATTCTCATCTTTTTGGGCTTTCACTAATCCTTTTGCTTTTTAAACTTTTTACCAACTCCTATTTTTGGAACTTTGAATGATGGTGAAATTCTTACACATCCTCTTTTTTAGCGTTTCAATTAAAGTGTGTTGTTGATGTTTGTTAATATTAAAGTCCCAACTCTTTTTAAATTGGAACAAATTAGTATTAGCGCCCGACCTGCGAATTTTTATGTCTACATTTCTATGCTATAATAAATTAATTAAATTGGGAGACAAGATTTTATTTGAGTTTTGGATCTCATTTTCTGATTTGAGGAAGTGCAACTGTGCCATTAATCGATTTCCCTTTGAGATTTTTCGATTTCCCTTAATCTTTATCGATCTAGGTCTTCGTTTTTCATGGATTCAGGTATCCAATCGCTCGTGATTTGGAGTTGCTGAGTTCACTTGAGATACAGAGCTTTCATGGTAGTGATCTTGTATTTATTTACTAGTTTTCATATATGTTCAAATTTATTATTGAAAATTATTATATTTACATTTGATTAGGGTTTTGATTTTCATTATAGGGCTTGTTATTCATTGAGTTTGACCTAGACTTACTATGTGTGAACTCAAGATTCAAAGATTTTCATCACTACACAGTAATGATCTGGATCTGTGTTCCATTTAAATAAACTCTTGCTTGGGTTTCGATTTTCATCAACGATCTAGGTTCTCATCTCTTCCATAAACGATGGCTCGAGCTTGGTTTGGATGATTTGGATCTGATCTAGGGTTATGTTTCTCTCAGGTATGGTTGTTTTATATTTTTCAGTTCTCAGGTATTCGGCTTCAATAGTTTTTTTTTTGATAAATTCGGCTTCAATAGTTTTGATCTACAGTTGTATTTGATTCAAATAGATTTTATTGTTTGTTCCACAAATAGGCAGCTAAGAATTTTTCAATGTTTTTCTCTTACTTTTTCTCTGTTCTTCTCTTTATTCGATGGTCTCACTACATATGTGTGTTTATATAGTTTGGATTTTGGGTTGAATTCCTATTAAATTTCAGATAATATCTATGGGTTAAATTTATATTCAATTTGGGTTGATTATATAGAATCATGTTTCCTAGAAAGTATAGTTCATGATATGAAAAAAAGAAAAAAAATTAATTCAATCTTAAGTGGGAGTTCTTGGTAATTTTTTTAGTGGCAAGAAACAAAGAGAGCTCAGATTCAGTTGATAATGAAATCATGTTAATGAAAAAAAAAATTGTAGGTACTTTTCATTTTACCCACAAAGGTTTTTTTGGTTTTTGTTTTTGTTTTTGTGATTATGAATAAAGGGTCCAGTTTAAGACAACTCACCTAAGGCCCCCAAGAACTTAGAGCCAGCCTCGGATACTAACAAATATACCAACAAACATCTATACTAATCAAAACACAAAGCTTACACGTGAATTCCACTTGACATGTCTATAGCGATCCCGGTTTCCCTTTTTCTTTAACTGTAGTACCTGGACTTAGGTTCTGTGGAGTTGGTTGTTGTATGTGCCTTGTTTACATCCTTTAATCCTTATATTGAGTCTTGGGTTGTGTTTGGAAGATTTGGAGCAGGTTGGTTGAGCTTAGGAACCAAGTCTAGTTGCCCAGATTTTGGCTTGTCCGCTCGAGCGGGGGTTTGGGCGCTCGAGCGGGGTTTACACCCATCCAGTATGTCCTGTGTAGTGTTGGACGCTCGAGCGGGAGGTTGTGAGTGACGCTCGAGCGGGGAGTTGGGAGCTCGAGCGGGGACCTGTCTGCAAAAACTTCTAGGAGTGTGCATTCGCCGCTCGAGCGGGAGCTTGGCCGCTCAAGCGGGAGTCTGTGAGTGGCGCTCGAGCGGAGGTTTACACGCTCGAGCGGGGCGACTGTTATAAAAATCCGAGATCCGACTTTCTGGATCATTTTTCATCTCCCTTTTGATTCTAAAACCATAGAACCGACTTCTCTCTCTCTCTACTCACCTTCTCTCTTAGGTTTGATCTATTTAGAGTGTGTTTCTACCCCGGATCCTTTATTAAAAAGGTAGAGTGAGTCGAGGGCTTCCATTTAATCTGAACGTTGGGTGGTTTGGAGCACTTTGGAATTTCGGTCTTCATCTCTGTCTTCTCCATTCGGGTATTTTCTTCGAGGTAGGGATTTCCTACTCCATCTTATAAGTTTTGTTCTAAGTTTTGGTATTTTGATATGTTGGGAGTACTTTGTTAATTTTGGGAAAACCCTAGTTGTATTAATAAATTAATTTGTATAATTAATTTAAGGAAATTGGGGCATTTGGTTAAATTCATGGAATTGAGGAATTCATTGATTCAATGGTGTAGTTGAATAATTTAAATCACTCGCCTATTGAATTGTTGACATATTTATTTCCAGTCTAGAAATAACTGTTTTGGGCTATCGGTGGAGGATAGTCGTGTTTGTTGTAGACATTGCATGTGGATTAGGGAAAATTGAAACTAATCACTTTGTTTAAGTCATAAATTCAGACTATTGAATTAATACAGAAAATACATGTATTGATTGAGCATTGCATATGCATATTGTTTGGGAGGAGATAGGGGATGTACTCCACGGTTTAGGGGAAGATAGGGGATGGACCTCTAAACCGGATTTTGTTTGGGAGGAGATAGGGGATGGACTCCATTAGCATCACTATTATGTGTGCTTATTATATTGAAGTGTTTTTACATGTTGTTGATACAGCACTACAATGTGTATCAAACGGGAAGTATGAAGTGTTTTGATATGAGCCTGAGTCTCATATGTGTTGTTGGCATTGGAAGTAATGTGATATTGAAAGTAATGTGAATATGATATATAGTTCATTGTTGTAAGTTTGGCCAGGTTCTGAGCCATATTGATAATAATGGGAATTAAAACATGTCATAGACATTAGTGTCATGAAACGGTATTAAGTTATAATTGATTATCTTGGTTAACCATCTATTGAATGCTATGGCTTTATTCAACACTTATATTTGGTTTAGTATTTTTCTACTGGGTTGTGGCTCACCCTTTATGGGAACATCATTTTCAGGTTCAGGTGATAAGTTACCTCCAAGGACTTAGCTTGGAAGGATTTGGCTTTGGATTTCGAAGACTATCTTTAGTTAATTGTTTTATTTGTTAGTACATGTAAACATTCAAGCCAAGGGCTTCACTTGTGTTTGGGTTAGAACTCATATTTTTTTGCGTCCAAGTGTTGACTTGGAAAGATGTTAGCCCGTAGGGCATTTAATTTGATGTTACATGTAATGCTTATATTTTAGTAATACTCTGATGAATGAATTAATAAATTGTTTTCTTTAAATATTTCATGTCAATGATATATGTATATAATGGGTTTATTTTAAGGGCGTGACAATGTCTCAACTTGACGTTGTGCCTAATTGAAATGTTTGTTGGTTCCTAATTAAAATCTGACAGTTAAAAATAAAGTAAAATTGAGAACTTTGATTTCTTCTTTGCCCCCACTATTTGCTCCGCTTTCTACACTTCACAAGTAAGTACTTTCAATTCACCAAAATTTTAGAAATTAACGTTTCGATTTGTCTGATTTTGTGCAACACAAAACAAGTATGACTTTCGTAAATGTCTTGAGTGCACAAATGTGTAATTGGTTTTGATGGGTGTTTTTTTTATTCTAGTTGGGAAAAGTGCGCTATTGGGTCTAAACATTGCTAAAAATGGCAAAAGATTACCATGCCGAGTGCCCCTTGTTTGGTGGCGCAATAGCCAGCACATTCCCTCTTCGATTTCAGGTTAGTTCTTATATCTATGTATACATATTTAAGGGTTCATCAATATTTGAACACTAGACAAGGCCATTGACTGATGAACTTTTGTTGGACTTGTAGGATGTGAGCAACATTCGACAAGTCCCTGATCATCAGGTTATTGATGCATTTTTCTTTTAATAGTTGTCCAATTTGTTTCCGTCACATGATGCTCTGTCTATTTCAGTTTCATTATCACTCTTTTTGGATCTCAATTGTTGACTGACTTCATGTTGTAATAATTCATTGCTTGTTTGAAGGAGGTTTTTGCGGACCCTGCGCGTGATGAGAGTCTGATATTTGAACTTTTAGATCTGAAACTTGAAGTTGCCGACAATGGAAGTGCCACCTGGTTTCTTCAAAACCTTGCCAGAGAGCAAGATGCTGAGGGAGTCATGGTAACTAAATCAACATTCACATTTTATTTTTCAGGGCTTATTATAAAATGTGGTATCTAGATAATTTTTTTTGGCTTTGCATCATTGTATTTGCATGAGTAAGGGATTCCATATTTAATCTATTGAAAAATGGAGGATGGTGGCGTTGAGAGTGTATATTATTATTGAGTAGTGTTAGACAAATATATCCTTGGTATTGGCATATTGTATGGGCTATTGGAAAAACAGTTAGAAATATTATTTGTAACTTTAACACTTGGTCATGTGTAATAGAGCCAAGTGGCTAATTTATTTTTTCCCTTTCTGTTTGTTGGTCATGTGTAATGAGTTTGGTTGTCAAAAAGCTTGCTAGACTCAACCCAAATAGTATTGAGAGTTGCCCAAAGACCGCTTAGAAATTGACCACAAAACCTAAATTCCTCTTCCCAATTGAATTCAACAAATAGTTTTCTAGACTTTTTTGGTTCGTAAATTTTTTGGGCTTTCTGCTGATTTTTAATTTTTTGATAGTTTTCTTTGCAAATATCCACAGCCCAACAACCAAAGAGATTTCCATTGGTGCATGAAGGCAAAGAATCTAGTGTTTAGGCTTAAAAAACCCAAACCAAGCAAATGGATTAGATTGTAAAAGTCCACCATACAACGAACGACCCACCTTCCTGATGGACTTCAAGTTGGATCAGGTCCATTCACCCACTAATTGATAAGAGGGGAACATACTGATAGATCCCATACAACTCTATGATCACTCAGTTTTATAGCCTTGCCATGCACCTGCCAAAATAAAGGATTATTGCAGTAATATCAACTCTATGATTTTTTATATGTCCTGCTGTGTACGTGAGGTTTATTGCAATAATATTGACATGCTTGTTTTTAGACTTATAATGGTTTTACATTTTTACTTGGAACATTGTGTTAATAGAGAAGTGAAAATTGAAGATCAAGAGATAACAAATAGCTAACATTTTTGTTATCAAGGTTGGAGATGATGTGATCCAGTATTCAAGTTTACCTGAATTGATTGCTTCTATAAAGAAGGCAACATTAGAAGATGTTAATGGTTGTTTAGGTTAATAACTAATGCTGTTGAGTACTTTCCATGTGTATTCTTTCTAATGTTTGCTGAAATTTTAAACTCATTTTTGATTGTCGTGTGTTGAAACAGACAATGGCATAGATCGAAATTTCATGGCTATTCACCCGCTGTGGTGACTGGTAAACCTATTGTACGTAAACATAGACTAGTTTGTAATTGACATTACTTTTTGATTTTTTCTTCTCATGGTTGCTGATGCTTTTGCTCTATCTTATATTAATGGCTGTTTGATGAAACCAAACTTTCAAAGTACACATATTGTGAATACAATGTATAAATATAAAAAAATCCATTGTACATGCACTTGCAAATTTCATAATTTCTTATCTTTCTAGCCTTCTTGACATGGTATGCAAGAGTATGTAGATTTTTCAACCATTCATGTTTATTGAAGTTGTGTTAATGGAATTGGATGATTCAGGTATATAATCATCATTTTGGTGAAGATGATTGATGACTTGATGAAGCTAAAGAGAGCTGTCGATGAAGTTATTTTCAGAGAATTTGGAGAGCACATTGAATAATATTATTTTTATGATTTTGTATTGTCATATTGTATTTAAAGAGATTTTATTTATTTATTTATTTATTTATTTATTTTATGGAAAATTGAAAAATGAATGCTCATTCACATTATGGTATATATTTTGAGAATGGTGATGGATGATGATGGATGATATAGGTTTGGTTTGAACAAAAGTCAAAATATCATTAATTATGATTTTTCATTTTTTTTTTCAAAAAAATGAAAGAAATGGTGGCGTTTTTCTTAAAAACGTCGCGAAATGTCGTCATTATGACGTCAGAGATAACTCCTTTAACGTTAACTATCTCCTTTAACGTGCATAGTTAACGGCTGTAAAGAATTAACGGCGTTTTAGAAAACGTCGTCTAAAGTCTTTAGTGGCGTTTTTCAAACGTCACAAAGATACAACGACGGCCGCATCATCGACGAATTTTATAAACGTCATTTTATCTTTTTGCGGCGTTTTTCTAGCCTATAGTGGCGTTTTATAAACGCCGCTAATTCCCGATTTTCTTGCAGTGAGATCTTCGAAATCTTTAAGAAATCCATCATGAAAACCTGAAACAAGCAATTTTAGTAGTCTTTTTATAGAAACATAAAAACAGCTAAGGGCCGAGGGCCGACCCTAGCCTAAGGCCTGTGCTATAGGTCTCAAAATTTTGGCTTAAAAATAGGATCTTAAATTTAGTAAAATGTTATACGTCCAATGCTTTTTTTTTCTTTTTAAGGATCAATTTAAAGGGTTCCAAAATATTTTATTAGATCCATGTATGGTTTAGCCCATATTTATTTATAAGTATAGTTTAACCCATATTTATTAAAATGAAAATATATATTAAAGGAAAAGTGTTTGGGCTCAAGAAGAACAATATATACAATATATGAGCCCTATTTTATTTTTTTTTACCTTCTGTATCTATTAGATTGTAGTGAAATAAAAAATTTTGCCCCAATTTTTTTACCTAATTCTTTATTAGTTTTAATTGAGTAATTTTTTCTCAATTTTTTTGCCCTAATTTTGTTTTATTAAGTTGTTCTGTTTATAATTTTAATAAATATATGTGTAAATAAATTTTTTTGTGACTACAAACAAATAAAAATTTATAACTTATCATTTTATTTATGAATTTTTTTTTCAATATAAAAGGGGCTCCTATTTCCGAAATTCGCCTTAGGATCTCTAAATCTCAAGACTAGCGGAGCAAATTCGAAAAGAATGTAGGATGGGCATTCTGTGCTCGAGCAGAGTTTGCTTTTGGTTTACCGCTCGAGCGGGTATTCTTGCGCTCGAGCGGAGTTTACACACTCCCAGTATTTTGTGCCTCTGCAGAACTTATGCAGGTGTATTTTTCACGCTCGAGCGGGTTTTCTAACGCTCGAGCGGGTTGAGCTCGAGCGGACCTATTGGCGCTCGAGCGGGTAGTGTCTTGTCTGTGAAAGTTCTGGGAGAGGGAAATCTACGCTCGAGCGGACTGGTTTTCGCACTCGAGCGGATGTGCTTTATCTCCGTGTCTTGGCACTCGAGCGGGCCTTATTGCGCTCGAGCGGACCATGCTTTTTGTTTTGACGCTCGAGCGTTGTGTTTTTCGCTCGAGCGGATTTGTCGTATATCAGATAGCAGTTGGGCATTTTTGAATCACTTTTCACTTTTCTTCTCTCTCTCTAACTTTTCCAAAATTGATTTTGAGAGTTTCTCTCTCTAGAAACTCCCTTCTCTCTAGGGTTTGATCTAGATAGAGTGCTTCCTTTCCCTCCGGCCTTTGTAAAAGTTGTGTTGATCGTCAAGGGCGTCGTTTTGATTCGAAGAGTTTGGAGCACTTTGGTTTTGGTCTCTTCTCCGTTTGAGCTCTAACTTCGAGGTAGGGATATCCTACTCCTTCTCATGAGTTTTGTCTTTGAATTTTAGCATTTTGATGAGTTGGGGGTTGTTGGGTAATTTTGAGAAAGTTTGGGCCTTTGTGTAAAAAATAATTATCTTATATAGAAAATATAATTTAATATGAATTTTTCACTCTAAAACTCTTTCTAAAAATATGCGCCCAAATATCACTTGTAAAGCCTCCAAAATATAAAATTCGAACCCAAGTAATATACTCCAATCGTGATGACAATATTTAGAGAGAAATTTACCTGCTTCGAGATTCATATCTGCAAATTTTACTTGAAATTTGGGGTCACCATCCTCTGAAACCCACACACCACGTAACAGATTACCATGACACCTCTTTTGTTCGTGTAGGTGATAAAGCCCTTCGAGTATACTCCTGTAGTAACAGCATTAATGTATCATATTAGTTACAGAACCTAGCAAACATTTCTCAGGGGTGACTAATGGAGGGAGAGAGGAGAACAGCAGGGCCGGCCCTGCCCTAAGGCAGGTAAGGCTTGTGCCATAGGCCCCATATTTTGGCCCAAAAATAGGGCCCCAAATTTAAAAAATTATTATAGGTTCAATTTATTTATTTTTTTGGTTTTAAGATCAATTTAAAGGGCCCCAAATGTTTTATTGGGCTCATGTATAATTTAGCCCATATTTATTTATAAATGTGTTTGGCCTATATTTATTAAAATGAAAATATATAAATAAATAAATAAAAAACAATAGGGCCCCTAAATTTGGCCCAAAATAGGGTCCCTAAATTTGGTAAAATATTATAGGCTCAATGTTTTTTTTTTGTTTTAGGATCAATTTAAAGGGCCCCAAAATATTTTTTTAGGTCCATGTATGATTTACTCCATATTTATTTATAAGTGTAGTTTGGTCCATATTTATTAAAATGAAAATATATATTAAAAAAAAAGTGTTTGGGCTCAAGAAAAATAATACATACAATATATGGGCCCTATTTTTTTATTTTTTTATTTTTACCTTCTTTATCTATTAGATTTTAGTGGAATAAATAATTTTGCTTAAATTTTTTTACCTAGGTCTTTATCAATTTTAATTGAATAATTTTTTCTTAATTTTTTTGTTCTAATTTTGTTTTATTAAATTGTTTTATTTATAATTTTAATAATTATATGTGTAAGTAAATTTTTTTATGGTTACAAACAAATAAAAAAATTGTAACTTATCATTTTATTCATGAATTTTTTTTGGCTCCCATTTTCAAAATTCGCCTTAAGCCCCGACGAACTCAGGGCTGGCCCTGGAGAACAGTGGCGGCCAGTGGGGGCGACAGTGGCGCCGAGGGAGAAAGCAGAGAAAACTTACTTGAACAACTGTTGATGTTGAGCCTCCATTTCCAAATACTGAGTCTTCTCGTCATTTTCAGTCCACAAAATGCTATGATTATCAAGCCAGTGTGTCAACTCTGTTAGATAAATTGATATAGAGAGAAATTATATAAATTGATATAGAGAGAAATTGTATGTATTATAATTGATTGATGTATTACAAGATTGTTGTGTTCATATTTTGTACAAGAATTCCTATTATATAGGAGATGATTCTGGAGTAGGTGAGGAGTGAGTGGTGGAGGTAGGTTTGGTGGAGTGTAGTAGGTGATAGCAGTAGTAGGTGGAGGTAGGTTTGGTGGTAGGTGTAGTAGTAATTTACATTTACATTAACAGCCCCCCTCAAACTCAAGGAGGATAGGTACTAGCCAACTTGAGTTTGGAGAGAGTAACAAAACAGAAAAATAAGCTGACAAATAAAATTAAAAATGGGATAGGAGACACTGTATGGTCGTGTCGGACCGTTGTAGCAGACAGTTTACGGGGTCATGTCGGACCGTTGTAGCAGACACTGTGTGGTTGTGTCAGACCGATGTAGCAGACAGTTTACGGGGTCATGTCGGACCGTTGTAGAAGACAGTTTACAGGGTCATGTCGGACCGATGTAGCAAAGGTTGTAGTGGTGCACCAAGGGGGCGACTTTAGGGAGTGCGCCATGAGCGACTTATACATGATACTGTGTATAACCCCCCCTCAAACTCAAATAGGTGTGAAGATAGAAACCTATTTGAGGTTGAAACAAAGGGATTGATAAAGCTTTTTCAAAAGGCGTGCCATCAAAAGGCGTGCCCTAATTCATCAAAAAGTGTGCCGGACATGATGGCGAGGCACGTGGGCGCCTTGGCTTGCGTGCCCGTTTGTCGGCTGGTGGCAAGAGGCGCGCGATGCGCGTGGCTGCCTCGGCTATTTAACCAAGACAGAGCCTGAGGCCGAGGCAGAGGCAAAAAACTTGCGAATTGCTGAGAAAGAGAGGTCGTTTTGCTGAGAGAGATAGTCTGTAACACTCTGTTGCGAGAGATATTCTGTAACACTCTGTTGCCCAGAAAATGGCCTCTTCGTCCCACCCTCTGCTTACTCTCTTTCTCGACCTCAACGAGTCCACAAGAGAGAGAACTGGTGCGGTGTCCCGTGAACCTCAACCAAACACCACTGGGTTTGCTCCGTTGAACTTTCCGATGCAGTCGGTGGAGCAAAAAATGGCAGTGCAAACGGATGTGGAGGCTAATCAGTATACTTTGAAGGCATGTGTGGAGTCCATGACGGCGGTCACAAACTTGTCGCACCGGCTACAGAGTAGGACAAATGAGGTGCAGCAATTAAACGCCCAACTGGCTCTGCTCCAACGCATGTATAAGGATGCGTGAGCAGAGATAAGTGTGCTAAAGACGGAAAACAAGGAGCTGAAGCGGAAGGCCACCGTGATGTTCCGATTTGGAGGGCCGCCATATGCTGCAGTGGAGGAGCAGGGAGGAGTGATCGTGCCCAGTGGAGTGGGAAACACGGAGGCAGCACCGTCAAGGGCCGGCCAGGACGGAGGCAAAAAAGAAAAGACCGGCGGCAGAGTAGAGAAGAAGTGAGGTCGATGTATGGCCGCTGCAGAAAAGAAAACAAAGCTTGTGTTGTTGTTTGTTTTTTTTTTTTCGGGGTAAATCCGGCCAGGACGGAGGCAAAAAAGAAAAGACCGGCGGCAGAGTAGAGAAGAAGTGAGGTCGATGTATGGCCGCTGCAGAAAAGAAAACAAAGCTTGTGTTGTTGTTTGTT